GAGAGGGTGTGGAGGGGGAAACGGAGCAGGAGAGGGAGAGGTAGGGGGAGAGGAAGGGGAGGAGGAAGTGGAGAAGAAGAGGAGAGAGGGAGAGGGAGCAGGAGAGGAACAGGGAGAGGGAGAGAAGGGAGAGGGAGAGGGAAAAGAACTGAAATAAATTCTCAAGTTCCTGTGGAAGGAGAAAGAAAAACCGAAGCTTCCTTTTCAAAGGAAGAAGAAATGGCCAACTCAGATGTTGGCAACTGGCAGCAACCGGCCTCATCTCTCTGACGAATGTAAGCCTCCTGCAGCAAAAGGAGATTTACTTAGAACAAAATACACACTGCCAGTTAGCGGCTCCCTTTATAGCACAACATTAAAACAGTGCAATGCAGTTCTCATCAGCCCAAGACACGCACGCACGCACGCACGGGTGTATATTTAGGAGCGTTTGTCGGAGACAAAGTGCCACTTTAAATACTTTCAAGCAGGGGCACGTTTGGGAAGCGTCTTCTGGTGGGAACTGAAGCTTCTTCTTTCCACTCTGCTAGCCATGCAGAAAGACAAAGGCCTGCCCTGCAGGGGAGGAAACCTTTCCAGCTTCATTTTGGCTTCGTTCCCAACAAGGCAGGTATGAGTTCACCCACCTCAATTTGAAGTCCTAATTATCCGTTTCTCCTCCCTTTTCCATTTATAGGACTTGTTTCCTTTTGTTCTTGCATGTCTGTTCTTAAAAAAAACAGGTCAAACGGGGGATGTTTTAAACAACCCAAACTCTGTGGATGATACACCGTCATCAGATCCCGAACGCCCAATAAAGCTCAGGACTTGATTATCCTGCTAAAATCTAGCAGCCCCAGTCTTGGCTAAACAGATCCGAGTTCAGATCTGGCTTACGCTGCCGCGAGTCCTCCACTCGCCACCACAGCTGAGCCCTTGCTAAGCAAGACAGGTGTTAAATGAGTTTTGCCCCGTTTTATGACCTTTCTTGCCAAGGTTGTTCAGTGAATCTCTGCAGTTGTTAAGCGAATTGGACTTTGCTTGTCAGAAGATCCTAAAAGGGGATCACACGGCCCTGCAGCCGTCGTAAGTACATGCCAGTGGCCAAGCATCTGAATTTGGGTCCTCTGACCATGGGGATGCTGCAACGGTCATAAGTGTGAAAAACGTAGTCCAGACCAGGAAACCAAATTTATGAATACAAAAAACTACTTTTATTATAAGGTCACAGTAACACAATCTTGTATGCCCTCCCTCCTACACCAGCCTTTCTCCTAAAGAGAACTAGAGAAGATCAAATCTGAGACCAGCTGCCAACTTAGCAGCCCTTAAATTTTGATAGGGCGAGTTCTTTATCTACCCCACTAAAATTTTGCTCTTCATTCCCACTCCTGAACACCCCGGGACGCTGCAACCGTCATGAATTGTCACTCAGTTGCTGAGTGTCCAAATTCTGATCATGTGATCATGGGGATGTTGCACTGGACAAACAAACTCTTATAAGTTGAGGACTTTCTGTACGGGGGAGTTGAGAAAATCATTGGTGAGCAGTTAGTGGCAAACCACTGTTTTTTGTCTTTTAAACCTGTTAAAACTTTTTTCCTGGTTTTAATCCCCTCTGAACGGGGCCTGAGCAGTTGAAAGGGAAGGCTAGAAATCTTTACATAAATCCTTTATCAACCATATCCCAAACCACAAAGGATTGCTCAGCCTTGGACTGTTTTCACGGGGGAAAAACCCAATCAAGTTAATTGTGGTTTTCTCTTTTGTTTTCATTCTGCAAAATCTCAAAAAGAAAAGAAAAACACCCGCTCCATTTCATCCATCCCAACGTGGTTGGAAAGACCGAAAGAGTAATGAGCCTCAAGAGAAGACGCGAGAGCTGCAGAAGTGTGTTTCATCTGACCACAAAGCCAATAAGCCACAGAGTAAATTGGTTAATTTATAGTAGGTTTGGCTGTACGTGACTGGAGAGGAAAAGGTTTTGATTTATTAAATCTGGCTAATCAGAGACAGACTGCACTGCTACAGTTTCCCCCAAAATGGTAACATTATCTTACAGTATAATGAAGTTGACAGCGTCCCCGGATAATGGCTTATAGACGCTACATCAGTGGCGGCGAACCTACGGCACGGGTGCCAGAGGCAGCACTCAGAGCCCTCTCTGTGGGCACGCGTGCCATCGCCCCAGTCCTAGGTCTTCAGCTGGGTTTTATAAAATCTTTTTGCTTTAGGCCTCCGCTACAGTGCACCAAAAAAAAAGGTTCAATCAATCAGTCAATTTCAACTTCTTGCAGGAAAAAAAAAGATCTTGCAAAGTTGAAATTGATTGATTGAACTTTTTAATCCCACCCAGTCTGCTGTTACCACCACAGCCATGCCCACCCAATGGGCCACACCCACTCAATGGGCCACACCCACCCAATGGGCCACACCTAGCCAATGTGCGATACCCACCTGGCACCCGACGATGCATAAGTGGGTTTTGGGTTGCAGTTTGGGCACTCGGTCTCTAAAAGGTTCACCATCACTGCCCTACATGAAGATAAGCTGTTTAGCATCATTTCTTCTCTGAGTGAGCAAAAATGCTATTTTTCTTGTTTAGATTTTTGCTCTTCCCTGCATGTAGAACTGTTTCCCTAGCTGGGAATCTCTCATGTCAGCTGGAAGGCAGCAGGTAAAGGAACACCATAAAGGCCAATCAGGTTGAATGAGAATGATGAGCACCTTACAGGTAATCCTTGACTTGCAACCCCAATGGAGCCTGGAATTTTCCGTCTTTAAGTTGCGACGGTCATAAGTCGAGATACCACATGATCAGATTTGATTTGACGACCATTTTTATGATGGTCATAAAGCAGGTCACCATGATTGTAAAGATCTCTGGAGCAAAGAAAATAGCCCGGGAGGAGAGAGGAAGCTGGTCTAGATAAAACAAAAATATAGACATGGTCCAACCTGGCCAAACCCACACACAATGAATCTTAGTTTCAGGCCTATAAGGTTGACCAGATCAAGAAACCAAGGCCATATAAATCTGAAACTATTTCTGTTGGAACAAATATAGCAACAGAATTCTCCGTGTCTTAATGTGCATCCTTCTCCCTCACTTTATCTTTGTGTGAACTAGGAAAAGCATGTCTGAGACATTTATTCCCATTACTTTCTTGCCCTGGGCTCCATGCTCTTTTATCTGACCGTTGCCTTGGTAATAGGTTTTCCTCCTTTGCTTCAAGGCCATTGTGTGTTGCTCTGCTCCCCTCACACACACACACAAGAATTCTACTTGAGTTTATTCACACACAAACACACACACACCCAAAACAGGCCCTCGGAAAGCAACCCCATTGTGCAAGTTCGGATTCTGAGTTCAGCACGGCAAGAGTCACTGGGTAAACCGAGCCCAACGGGCACACACAAGGTCCAGGAAAACAATCCACAAGTCCAAAGGGCCAGGATACACGGCACAAACACACAAGGCACCGAACTGGACACGTTGCTCCAGCAATGCTCAAGTTCTCGGGCAGGATTAAGTACGTGGACCTTCACGAGGGGTGAGGTTGTCTCCTCGCAAGTAGTTAGCCAACCGACATTGTGCCTATCTCCTCTCTGCCCTACATGTGCTTGGATCGGGAGGAAGTGTGAAGTCCACCACCTCCTCCTGGTCACTAACAGGCGGAAGCTGCTCCCAGCCCTCGCCTGGAGCCTCCTGGCCAACTCGCTGCAGCTGCGGCTCGCCTGGCTCAGCCTGTCGTGTGTCTGATTGACCCGGCTGAGGCTGCACCGTCAGGCTAGCATTCTCCAACCCCCGATCCGGGCCATTGTTCAGGCCCTGCGCTTTCCTCTGCCGACTTGGCTAAGCCCTCTACATCTAGCTCAGTGGTTCTCAACCTTTTTAATGCCGCGACCCCCCCAACCAGTCGTAAGTCGAGGACTAAACCGGTCGTAAGTCGAGGACTAAACCGGTCGTAAGTCAAGGATTACCCAACCGGTTGTAAGTCGAGGAATTTCCCTGCCCGGGAGCACCGTGCATGCATGGTGCCGCCCCCTGTGCCTGCCGAGGCGTAGCTGGCAAGCGGCAGAGACAGAGCAGGCCGACCACCAGCTGGGCCACCAGCTGGCCCAGCCCAAGGGAGGTAAAGCACCCGCCGGAAAAGGGGAAAAAAATGGCGGACAGCCTTGCTTGGCGACCCCCGTGAAATGGTTGATCGACCCCAAATGGGGTTACGACCCATAGGTTGAGAACCGCTGATCTAGCTTGTCATTAGCATACACATGTGTCTGTCTGCATGTGTGTGTGTGTGTGTGTGTGTGTGTGTGCGTATATCTGCTATAAATAAATTTTTATTTTATTATTTCATTATATTTTTTTTATTTTTAGCTCTTTCGTTGTTTTAATTTTGGACTGCCAATTTTTATACACCTTGATCAGATCTTTCGTTTGGACCTTGTCTGAACGCTCTTGGCAAATGGTCTTGTTTTTCCTAACGTGGGTCTCTGACCGCAGGAGAGCTATCCCAAGGGTCTGTCCTGAGCCATGGTGGTGCAGTGGTCAGAATGCAGTACTGCAAACTAATTCTGCTGACTGCCGACTGCCAGCAATTCAGCAGTTTGATTCTCACCCGCTCAAGATCAACTCAGCCTTCCATCCTTCCGAGGTTGGTAAAATGAGGACCCGGATTGTTGGAGTTTGCTGACTCTGTAAACCGCTTAGAGAGGGCTGTGGAGCCCCGTGAAGCGGTATAAAAGTCTAAGTGCTATTGCTATTGCTACACTGTTGTGGCCATTCCAAATTCACTGAGAGGGAAGCAATTATGCTGCAAATTGGAAGCCCTTTTGGAAAGCATAAATGGCACCAGCACATTGCTCAGGTTATTTCAGCAGCATCTCTGCAAAGACCAATAAAATATGGGGAATCCAAGGGGCAGCCAACTATAAAAATTGCCCCCAAGTTTTTTTTTTTCCCCTCTATGGAAGGAAAGGTGATTTTAAGTCCCTGGTCAATCTCCAGCCCAAATGGCTTTTTTTTTTTTTTTTTTTTGCTTTGCCGTGACATATCTTAATCTAATGGCTAAAACTGTAATACAAAAGCTGACGAACCTCCAATAGAGATAGATCTTACACAGCTCTTATGTCGGAGCAGAGGCAGTTAGAAAAACAAAGGAAGGATGACTTACTTTGCTGAGTAGCCGTTGCTCTGCTCCGGGCTGTAAAGGTCTCCATCTACTTCGGCCGTTCTTAGTGTCTCGACGCATCTCCAATGTTTGCGACCCCAGGTCACGTTCAGCTGCCAGGAGGAGATTCAACAAAGTCATTGTCACAACCAGTTTTGAAAATGTCCCCAAAACTGGCAGTTAAAATTACAGGAAGAGTTAGCACAAGAAAATATTATTTATTCTTGGTTCCAATATAGGCAATTATTAGATAGATGGAAGATGGACTGTAAGGTGGGTTTTTACAGAGAAGATGAAAATCTTATTAAGCAAGTGAAGGATCAAAGACAAACCCACATTAAGAGGATCTATGGGGTTTTAGTTGAATTGGATTCAGAAACGGAACTAATTAAAGATTGTATGATTAGATGGGCGCAGAATTTTGGTGAGCCAGTTCCATTGGACACCTGGGAAATTATTTGGGTGAGAAATGTCAAATTTACACAAGCACAGAACTTAAGGGAGAATTTTTATAAAATGTTTTATAGATGGCACCTTGATCCACAAAAAATGTCTTTTATGTACCCTGACTTACAACCTAAATGTTGGAGATGTGGTTGTATGGATGCTACTTATTATCATATTTGGTGGTCGTGCAGAGAGATAAAAGCATTCTGGATTAAGATATGGTGGAATATCCAGAGAATTTTTAAAAGGAGGGTAAAATTTACTCCACAATTATTTTTGTTAGGTATAGTTACTGATTGTGACACAAAGGAGGTTATATTGATGTTAAACTTGATAACAGCTGCGAGGCTGTTAGTAGGACAATATTGGAAGAAGGAATCTTTGCCTACATTGCAGGAATGGTTTCTTAAAGTGTCTCATTTGGCGGAAATGGCAAAGATTTCGGCTTTCTTAAAGGGACAAACGCAAGAGAAATTTTTTGCTGTTTGGGATAAATGGATAAAATTCATACAATTTAAATTTGATATAAAAAATATTATATAGTTTTTTCATAATTTTTAACTTTATATATATATATATATATATATATATATATATATATTCTATTTTATATTCTTTTTTTATAATTTTTTTTAACTTTTTCTTTAATTAAGCCTATATTCTGCTCTGGGAGGTCCTGGGGGGGGAAGGGGGGGTTTGGGTAGGGGTGGGGGAAGGGGGGTTTTGTTGGGTAATGTTTGTTTTTTATTTGTATATGTTGTTTTTTGTTTTTGTATTGTTTCTTATTTTTTGTAAAATTTATAAAACTCTTTAATAAAAAAAAAAAAAAAGAAAGAAAATGTCCCCTCGGTGGCCGGGAAGAAACAGACCAAGCTAGTGTTTGGGAGTTGAGGTTATTGCTAAAACAAGGCTGAATTCACAACAATGTACTACATGCCAATCTCAGGTTCATAAAGCACAAGTGCTGTGTTTGTAGGAAATATGTTCTACCCAATTAAACCATGGCATAATTTATTTATAAATTAAATTTGTTTGCCGTCCATCTCGCCTCGGGGGGACTTTGGGCAGCTTACAATATTAATCGGACAGCTTAGTCGACAGAACTTACCCAAAGCAGGGCTGGGCTCTTGCTATTTGGAATTATAAACCTCTCAATCCCTTTCTAGCCTAATCCACCCTGATACACAATCTTAGCCTTCATCCCTCCTTACTGTCATAAAATAATGATTCAGAAAGCTGCTGATGCTCAGATTGAACTCACGTAACGCCCTCCAATGAAACTCAAATATTTAATTTTAATTTCAATTAAATGTCTCCTGGATGGAAACTTTGGCTGAAATCTCTCAGGTTCTGAAGGAGAATACAGGTAGTCCCTTAGCTTACAATGGTGTGTTTAGTGACTGTTCAGTTACAATGGCACTGAAAAAAGTAACTTATGACCGTTTTTCATAGTTACGACCTTTGATCATATGATCGAAATTCAGACGCTTGGCAACTGGTTCGTATTTATGGTCTTTACTATGTGCCAGGATCATGTAATCCCCTTTTGAACGATGGGGGACATGATAGCAGTATTCCAGTATCTCAGGGGCTGCCCCAGAGAAGAGGGGGTCAAGCTATTCTCCAAAGTGCCTGAAGGCAGGACAAGAAGCAACGGATGGAAACTAATCAAGGAGAGACGCAACCTAGAACTAAGGAGAAACTTCCTGACAATTAGAACAATTAATCAGTGGAACAACCTGCTTCCAGAAGCTGTGAATGCTCCAATACTGGAAGGTTTTAAGAAGAAATTGGACAGCCATTTGTCTGAAATGGTATAGGGTTTCCTTCCTGAGCAGGGGGTTGGACTAGATGATCTCCAAGGTCCCTTCCAACTTTATTATTATTGTTGTTGTTGTTGTTGTTTGACAAGCAAAGTCAATGGGGAAGCCAGATTGACAACAACCAGGTTACTAACTTATCATTCTGCAGTGATTCACTTAACAGCCGTGGCAAGGAAAGTCATAAAACAGGGCAACACTCACAACAAATGTCTTACTTAAAAACAGAAAAATTGAGCTCAATTTTGGCTGTAAGTCGAGGACTATTTGTAGTGTAGCCCACCAGGAAGGCTAATAGAGGCAAGAAAGCTATTATGTTCATCGGCGGATTCCAGAGCCCATCATCGCCTAGAGCCCAACAGGACTGACTCTGCTCATCCATCTGGAGGAAAAGCAGCTGGCTCCAGACTGCAGGAATTCCGTTCTCAGGCTCACATGGATCACCCAAGACAGGAGTCCTGGTTTTATTTACTAATTTAATGTATAAGTCAAATGGCAGTTAATGGGCAGCAAATTCAGTGGAACACATAAAACGGATTAATACGTTCAGCTGGAGAGAACTGATGGCCTTGTTATCTCAAGCAGAAATCAGCTGGATGGAAGAGAAATGGATTCCCACCCAGGCTTTGCTTCCTTTTGTGCCCCAAAACCAGAAAATGACAAACGAACTAGCACGACTATTATTATTAGACTCAGTTGCACAGTCAGCCAGATGTTTAGAATGGATCGGACATTTGTGTCCACCTATTGAATCCTTCCCAAGGATTTGGGATAGGCAGATGATGTTGTTTAATAGCATTAAAGGTATTGTCAAAATTATCGCAATTGTCTTATTATTACTTAACCAATCTTGTTTGTATCTATCTATCCATCCATTCATTCTTCTATATCTGTCTCTCTATATCCATCATCTCATCTCCATCATCTCCATTTCTATCCATCTCTCCATCTCTCCATCTATTCATATCTCCATCTATTCATCTCTCTCTCTCTCTCTCTCTCTCTCTCTCTCTCTCTTACACACATACACACACACACAGAGAGAGAGGGAGAGAGAGGGGGGGGAGAGAGAGAGAGAGAGGGAGAGAGAGAGAGAGAGAGAGAGAGAGGGAGAGAGAGAGTGTGTGTCAGTCCAGTTTTCTAAGCCAGTACTACACCAAGTTGGTTTTCTACTAACTGGAGTCTACGTTCTGATCATCCTTGAGAAACTGTCCCCATTTTGTCATACTTTAAATTTCCATTTCAGAACAAGACGGCTCCAGCAAGGATGAATAATTGAGTAAGAAGGTATTTTTAAAAAAAAAATGGAAAAAGATATTCTGCATGGCTACTGTTATGGGGAACAGATTCTCTGAAGAATGTCCTACTGAGATTTTATAAATCATTTTAGACAACCAGGGCTCTGGCTCAGTGCAAATTCACCACAAATTGGGGCAGCAAACTTTCTCCCCAGCAGTTAAAGCAGGACTGCACGCACAAAAGAAAAGTACAAATCATCCTCCAGTTACAACCACAATAGAGCCCAAAGTTTACGTTGCTAAGTGAAACATCCATTAAGTAAGATTTGTCCCATTTTACAATCATTATGCCACAGTTTGTTAAGTGAATCACTGCAGTTGTGATGTTAGTAACACAATTGTTAACTGAATCCGGCTTCCTCCGTTGCCTTTGCTTGTCAGAAGGTCTCAAAAGTGGATCACACGATTCCCTGGGACACACTGTAACCGTCATAAATATGAATCATTTGAACTTTAATCACGTGATTGTGGGAATGCTGCTAAGGTCGTAAGTGTGAAAAACGGCCATCAGTCGCTTTTTTCAGTGCCCTTGTAACTCTGAACGATCACTAAATGAACTGTTGTAAATCGAGGACTACCTGTACCAGGTGAATTAGAATAGAACCACACAAAAATTAACCCCCAAATCCCCTGAACAGCCTAAGCCCGTGATGGCGAACCTACGGCACAGGTGCCAGAGGCGGCACTCAGAGCCCTCTCTATGGGCACGCGCGCCGTCGCCCCAGTCCTAGGCCTTCAGCTGGGTTTTATAAAAACCTTTTCGCTTTAGGCCTCCGCCGCCGTGTACAAAAAAAAAAAAGGTTCAATCAATCAATCAATTTCAACTTCTCGTGGGGAAAAAAACAGATCTTGCAAAGTTGGAATGGATTGATTGAACTTTTTAGTCCCGCCGTTATCACCACAGCCACGCCCACCCAATGGGCCACACCCACCCAATGGGCCACGCCCACCTGGCACCTGACGATACGCAAGTGGGTTTTGGGTTGCCGTTTGGGCGCTGGGTCTCTAAAAGGTTCGCCATCACTGCCCTAAGCGGACCAAGTTCACCCAATGAAGATTTGGCTCTTTCATTAGCCACAGAACAGGAAAAAGTGAAAGGAGGGGGGGGATGCTCTGCCTGAGCCCCCATCTTGAGAAGAACCATCTGACCACAGTATGTTTCTGGGAATTGAAATCCACAAGTCTTAAAGTGGCCAAGTTTGAGGACCCCTGTCTCAAGGCAAGGGCTGGCTTAGGAGGGTCCATTAAAATGGGACTTACCCCCAGAGCTGACCAAGAGCTTCTGTTTCCATTCCAGCTGATCCAGCCCCATCGGGGTACTCTTAGAGAGTGGGAGGGAATGACATCGGTCCAAAAAAAGTTTGAACGGAGGAGGAGACGCTGGAGACGGGCGGAGAGGGTGAGACCGTGCCTGCGGAAGGGAGAGAGACGGGAAGTGGTGTCAGGACAAAATGATTGCAAAGTTGTTGGTGTTTTTTTTTTTAACAAAAAGTGAAGGAAGTGCTCCAAAGGCCAAGATATCGTCATTTCACTCATGTACAACAAGAAAGCACACAATATTAAAATGCCATATGTAACATCTTCGTCAGTAGAGGTGGAATTTGCTCACGTTCAAAGATAGCACGATCTGTTATGCAGTTCAAGTGCTTTTAATTAAGAAAGGATTGGCCCAAACAAGAAAGTAATGACAATGACCAGGAACAAACATACACTCGTCTTTTTTTCTTTTTTCTTTCTTCCTTTCTTCCCTTCTTTCCTCCCTCCCTTTCTTTGCCCTTCCTTCCTTCCTCTTTCCCTTCCTTCCTCTTTCCTTTCCCTCCCTCCCTCCCTCCCTCCCTTCCTCTTTCCTTTCCTTTCCTTTCCTTTCCTTTCCTTCCCTCCCTTCCTTCCTTCCTTCCTTCCTTCCTTCCTTCCTTCCTTCCTTCCTTCCTTCCTTCCTTCCTTCCTCCATTTTACATTGTTAGGTTCCAGTCTTTAAGTCAATTGTAGGAGAAGAGTCTTTGGCAGCCTCAAATCAGAAGATTTTAAGACCAATACATTTTTTTAAAAAGACATATGATTTTGTAGGCTGCAGCATGCTTCAGCAAATGCATCGAACCCTACACCAAACTGGCCCGTCTATGCCAGGGCTTTTCAACCAGTGGTATGGGTACCACCTGTGGTACATTGGCACCTGGCAGGTGGTACACGACCATCCTAGAAAAGTGGTAGCGGAGGGAGGAGGGGAATGAGCTGAACCGGTGGCAGCATCACACAAGCCTGAGCAAGAGACGGCTGGAGCTGCAGGGCTGTCAGGGCTCAGTGGAAACGCCAGAATCCGTGCCAGGTTCCAGCTGGAGCTCGGCGCTACTCCTGGCGCTTCCGCTGAGCCCAGAAGAAGCGCCAATCAGCTGGAATGTTGCAGCATCTCCAGGGTCTTGTGATTTACATTCAGATGCTTGGCAACTGATTCATATTTATGATGGTCACAGTGTCCCAGGGTCATGTGAAGTGACCAAAACCTGCTGCAACCACCCAGCAAATGGGGGGAATAAAAACCAAACAGCCCCCCACCCCACCTCCACTGCCAATCCTCAACAGAAAGGCTCACAACAATGAAAACCTCGGACAGGAGGAAGAGCGCGTCAGGTGGGCAGGCAGGTGTCTTGCTCGGCTGTGCCTTGGGGGGCACTTTTTTCAGTGCCATTGTAACTTCGAACAGTCACTAAGCGAACTGTTGTAAGTTGAAACTACCTGTACTTTATCACATTTTTCCTTTTTTTTTTTTGGTCATCAAGTTTTTGACCCCTTGCTAGGCGACGGGTGGTACTCGGATGTTGCCATATCCTAAAAGTGATACAATGGGTGAAAAGGTTGAAAAGCCCTGGTCTATGCAACAGATGAAGTGAAATATAGCTCACAAAAGCTAATGCCTTTTAATGCAACGTGTTAGTTTGAAAAAATGCTGCCAGTCCCCTCTTGATTTTTGACCACCTTTTCAGGTAGCCTCAGCATGATGGCACAAGAAACACAAACATGAATCAAAAATGTCAGTTGCTTCACAAGAGTTCACCATTCTAGGCTCAAAATTTCATGGGATTTGAGTGACGGCACCAAGGTCTTCTTAAGCTTTTGTGCTTCCCTCTTTTCTTCCACTTATTGAATTTGGAGCTTCTGTAGATGCAACATTGTTGTGTTCATCTCCAAGGAAGCCAATGAATGGCAATATGGAGATGGTTCTGCTATGTTTGAATCTTCTCTCTCCACAATTTCCAAGACATAACCATGTCTTTAAAACTAGGGTCTTCAAACTTGGCCCTTTGATGACTTGTGGACTTCAACTCCCAGAATTCCTCAGCCAGGCACATGTGCCTGGCTAAGGAATTCTGGGAGTTGAAGTCCACAAGTCATCAAAGGGTCAAGTTTGAAGACCCCTGCTTTAAAACTTCTCCATCTCTCAGAAACACAATAGGAAATACTGCAAGCTTGATGGTTTTCTAGCAGATGATTCATCACCCAACTAGGTAACATCACCAGTGCTATTTTGCTAATAATCAGTGCTAGCACATCTCTAGGACCAAAAAAGCAAAAAGGCAACCCAATTTCTACCAAACGTCAGTGAGGAGCAGTTTCACTAATCTTTCATTTTCTTTTGAATGGCTTGATTTCCTAATTCTGCTGAGCTATTTGAGCCCAGGCAGTAGAAGAGAGCTTTTAGATGGAAATTTCGCTGATGGCTTCAGTTGCAACTATACTGTCTTGGGCTACCACCTCCAGGTTCCACTGCTTCGCATTCTGCATCCAAGCTTTCTTCTGTCTCTCTCTTTTCTTTCTTTTTTTTAATTACAAAGTTTTATTGAATATACAGTTAAAAACAAAAAAGACACTTTGGACATAATACAATTAAAGATTAAAAAGACACATTGGACATGATAAACTTCCCTGATTCGAACGATACTATTAATATTGCCTTACATTATATTATTACATTGTAACAAAGTGAGCATTCTTTCAATGATGTGCATTATAATTAAATCACTTTTAATTCTATCTGATATAAAAAGTACTAGTAAAAAAATTTCTAAATTATCAACTTCTTCATTGACATTCATCCCAGCATGTCTCTTTAAATCTAACCATTTATACACTTCATTCCAAATTTCAAAATAGTCTGATTCAGTTTTATTTTTGAGCTCTAATGTTAACCTATCCATTTCGGCACAGGATAGGATTTTGTTTAGTACTTCTTCTTCGGAGGGGGTTTCTTTTCCTTTCTGAGGATAAGTTAGTCTCACTACAGTTAGAATGTGCAGTACTAAATATAAAGATCCTTTGCTGAATTTATCCTTAGTGATCCCTAATAAAAAAGTTTCTGGTTTTAATTTAATTTTTAATGATAATATCTGTTCCAACCAATTTTTTATCAAATGCCCAAATTTTTGAGCTTTTGGACATTCCCACCACATGTGATAGTAAGTTCCTGGTGATTTTCTACATTGCCAACATAATGGTGAGGATTGTTTTGTCCATTTCTTCTGTCTCTCTCATCAACCCCTCGTCTCTAGGCTGCAAAAGTCACGTGGCAACTGGACAGTTGCTCCTCTTCAACAACATTTCCCCAAATGGAACATTGTCAGATTTATCTGCAGCCAATGGCCCTGGGCAACATCATCAGTGTCAGCAGAAGCAAATGTGATCAGAAGACTTAAGGAGCAATCTTAGGTCACCTCCGAATTCAAGGTCCGGGCTCTAGTGGGTTGACCTTCACTGGGATTACAAAACCCAGCTCAAATTACTCACTTTGAGAAACCCAGAACTGGAATGAGTGGAGAACAGTACTTCTTTTAATTTTCCATCCCTCCTGCTGTATTGAGATCATGTCACAATCCTTACCCTCAAGCAGATGCCGCATTTTTTGACGGGTGAGGAACACAGCATACAGAACATGAAAGAAAGGCTATCGCCTATGGCAACAAAATTGGAAATTCTTTATTTAGCTATTTCTTTCCTGGGAGGCAAACATTTTTTTTTTTACAGAAAATGTGAGATTGTGGTAGTAAGTGTAGTAGTATGTAGTAAATCACAAAGCCAAGGGGATTGGGCAGGAGGTTCACTTGTTCCTTGATTCAGAAGAGACTGGGGTGAGGGTCAAACAAGTCAAAATGTAAACCACAAAACCAGGGTCAAAGTCTTTTACACATTTCTGCCATTTTGAAAAAGGAAATACTCAAAACATATTCTTTTACCCTAAAAGAAGCTTAATGGGTTGTTGTTGTTGTTTAGAAAATGATAAAGGTCTAACAACAAAATGAACTTGCTAGAGGAAATAAAGAGATAACAGCAACCAAGCTTTATGAAGAAACTCAATTAAGAGATTTGTCCCTCCACACTATTTCCCAACAGGGGGGAGAAATCAATCAATCAATCAATCAATCAGCTGTTTTCAATTATTGCCAAGAAAGACACCATTCACTATTAGATTATAAAGGAAGCAACTCACAATGGATACAGAGAGACAGCAAACATCTTACTTTGAGTTTAGTGCAAAAAATACAAAAGATTTTGTCATCTGTTTTGTTCTCTCTCATGGAGAGAAATGATGGTTAGGTAGAAATTCATAAACAGTGATCCAACAACTGTTCTATGGACCACAACTGGATGGAACCAAGGGAAGAGCTGGCACCTGGATCTGACAAAAGCTGGGAAGTATGGAAATTGTTGAATAGACTGTGCAGGGATACAACAAGATTGAGATACACTCTGAACAAATGGGGCTATCCAGTGGTTTTTGCCCTTTGCGATTGTGGTGACATGCAGACAACAACACATATATATACCTGACCTTTGTGTCCTGATCAATGTACACTTGAAGACCTCATGTCAGCGTGACAGAACACAATTAACGTTGCTCCTTTCTGAGCAAGATTTGTTTAACTTGTACACATTTCAATCTTGGTTTTTATATTTTAAATGTTATGTCATATAGCATGCCTTATTTTAATTGTGATGCTTCTGACACGAATAACCAAGCAATTAGAGTCGTATAATGAGGGCCACTTGTATGTTGGACCAATAGGGTTACTTGGGATCTTGTCTGTGGAATTGGCTCCAAGGTAAAACACAGATTCAGTTTGGAACTGAACTGCCCTTTAGCGATATTGGCAAGTAGCAAGAAATGACATGGGCAAGGAAATGAGTAAGATGGGCCAGTGGTGGGATTCAAATATGTGAACAACCAGTTCTCTGTGTAGATGTTGCTTCTGGAAGTCCATTCTGGGCCTGGGCAACAAAAACTAGCTACTGGTTCTGCCGAAGTGGTGCGAACCGACTGAATCCCACCACCTTAATGTTGTGTGGAGGGTTCCTACAAAGTGGGCTTCCAGCCTGTCGTCCAGACATCCCAAAAGAGCAATGCTACTGTGTAGAAGAGAG